GCTTTAGCTGCTGCAGACTACTGGGACCAAACCTGGCTACAGCTGACACACAAACAGTCCTTCAGTTTCTTTGCAGCCGGCTTTAATCATTTCTTTTCAACTGTTCATGTATGAAAGAAAAGCCCAGATTTCTTCCATAAGACACTCATTAACCTGGTCTTGTCTTTCTGCACAAATATGTGGGTATTTATATCACTTACTTTGCCACAAATGGTGGGTCGTAGCATTGTGTTTCCCAGGCAGCGTGCTATTAGGAGCTGCTGCCTGTACAGTCGATCCAGATGAGAGAATGAGTCATCATCTACTCAGATATTGAGACTTCGCCGAAGGGAGACGCAGCGCTGAATTCAGCTCACAGATGTATTATTTAAATCAGATGAAAGCATCTACTTGTGCAGTTTGGGGCATCGTCTGCAGAAAAAAGATAGATGTTACAAAAATTATGAGCCTAAAGACATAATTAACCTCATTTTCCTCCCATACTAGACCTGGATAAAAATACAGGATTGTAAATAACTGAATTCTGGATTTCGATGTTTGTACAAGGCGTTAAAATAGTTTGACATTCTAGGAAATGTAGTGTTACGGTTTCTGGTGGGTGTTGGACTCCTCCAGGTCTTTGCCTTTGATCCCTTTTGTGATATTCATGGATCTCAATGTGCAGTCGAGGTGACAAGGGTGTCCGGTTTGGAAACCTCATCGTTGTGTGTCTGCTTTTTTGCGGATGATGTGGTTCTGTTGGCTTCATCAGACTGTGGCCTGAACTCTCTCGGGGTTGGTGGTGAGCTCCTACCTCAAGCAAAAGGGTTTAAGTATCCCGAGGTCTTGCTTACAAGTGATGGGAAAGCGTAGTGTGAGATGGACAGATTGGGGGCAGCGTCAGCGGTTGTTGGACGGGATCATAATGGTGAAGAGGGAACTGAGCTGGAAGGCGAAGCTCTCGGTTTAGCAGCTGATCTTCGTTCCAACCCTCATCTGTGGTCATGAGCTCTGGATAATGCTCTAAAGAATGAGATGGTGGATACAAGCCATCAAAAAGGATTTCTGTTGTTGGGTAGATGGCTATAGCAGAGTAGAGTTGCTTCACCTTTTCTGGACAACTGGGAGGAAACCGTGGGGTAAACGCAGAACGCGGAAGCTGGAGAACCCGGAGAGAACCCATGCTGCACGGGGGAGAACATGCAAACTCCACGGAGAAAGATCCTGGGTGTCCTCACCAGGACGCGAACTTCTAGCTGCGAGGCAACAGTGCAAACCACTGAGCCGCCTTGCAACCCTACTTTCATATTTGCTTTACCCAAACATAGAATGCAAAACATGATTTTGTCATTAGACTTGTTGTTCTCTGGGATCCTACTCGAAGAACACGCCAGTTAAGCTGCATTTTACTCAACTTTAGATGTGCCAGTTGTGTCAACTTACTTGTTTAATTGTCATAAAGTTGGGTTTAGCTAAATTAAAACTGCATTTGTTTCAATTTCTTGAAAGAAAAATATAGATTGTGTTTTGTTGCATCAGAGAAATGATTGTGATGCATATTGTTGCGGCTTGTTAAAATGCAGCAGCACTGTTTAAGATCAGACATTTCTTATGGCGTCCTTGTTGTGTCAAACTGGATGCGATGAATGTTGACAGCAAGCGGTCACTTCGGTGCGCGATGACAGGCGGCTGATCGCAGCCACCATGACTCAGCACCATGTTGACCTCTGCATGATCACAAACACAGAGCAACAAAAAGATATTTCTGCAGGATTCTGTACCACCGCCAGACAGAGAAGTGTTGAGGAACCGGAGGGGCTTTGGATGAGCAACACTCAGCTCACAAACACTCAGCAGGAGAGTTGAATGGTGTGCTGCACTAATACGCTGGTGACTCAGTGTTGAGGACCTCGGGGCTGTCTGACAGTTTGCAAACCTTCCACCATTTTCCTGGTTATTTGATGAGGTTGCAAAGGGAATTGAGGAGACTTTTAGCTTGTGTGAGTCACACTTTCCCTTCACACACCTCCTCCCTTCCTCCTTCTGTCCAACCTATGAGGTGCAAGTCGTGAGTTGCTGCAGTCCGCACGAGGGAGTTAAGATTTATTACCCCGTTGTGTCTCTGCGTCTAAACTCTCTTTGTGCATTAAGTGTCGTTGCGGCCCCTGTTTTCTGCCGCCACCATGTTCATGCACCAACACTGCAGAAGGTTTGTTTTAGATGCACAGAGATTAGTCAAGGTCACATCGTGCTCAGATAGCAAGGACACGCTGTCTTTCAGAGGAGAAACTGCAGTGTTTCATCCTCTGCTGCAGATGTGTGTCCAGATCATCATCCTCCATCTATCAGACATCACCTCTCCATCGACTCCTCCTCCGTCTCTTTTTCTTGCAGCTGCTGTGTGTTTCTGTCTGTGCAGAAGCTGCTCGCGTGTCCACCTCGCTCAGGCTGCGTTGGTGTTACGTAACAGGCCTAACTTAATAAATCCTGTATGATGTGCTGTGCTGTGGTTTGACGTGTTGTGACAGCAGCCGGGGAACATGCTGCCTTCTGCGGCCCACGTCACGCCGTGTGGAGTAAAACAGTCAAACGATCTATAAGCTGCACAGAAAGTTCTGCACCACATGGTCAGATACAGTGATTACAAAGTTAGAAAACCTTCATTTTATCCTCTTTAAGGCTAAAAAAGTTCTTAAATACTGCATCCTGTGTCAACGTGAACTGTGCAAATTTATGTCCTTGTTAATGTCCTTGTTTAATAAACGTATCTCATTAAATTAATTTAAATATAGGATTCAAAGCTGGCTTAATCAAACAAACCATCACTAGTCAGAGATAGCTCGTTAGCATTTACCATCACTGGTTTATATTTTGTTACTTTTTTTAAATGAAATATTGACAAAATGCAGCGACACACCTCACATTTGCATAAATTAAGCAACACACTTTAAACATCGACTTATAGTTGAACAAAAGTTTACATCCACTTGTAAAGACCATGTGTATTGTGGTAGTTTCAAGTCTCCAATGACTTCTATAACTCTGAATCTTCTATAATGAAATCAGCGAAACACATGCGTCTTTGTCACAAAAAACAATCGTGCGTTTTGGTTCTTTCATAGATTTATTACAGGACATCTGGAACTATGACAAATCTGCTGCATCAGAAATATACATACTGCTATGCTAATCATTGGTTTCCGTCCACAATCTTCTGGTTTATCTTTGACTCCACTTGACAGAATTGGTGCAGTTTCACTAAACTTGTTGTCTTTCTCTTGATGGTTTCAGTCAGGACTTTGGGGAGACCAGCTTAAGACCATAATTTGAGCCTGCTTTAACCATTTCTTCACCACTTTGATGTGTTTGGACTCATTGTCTTGCTGAAACACTCAACTGTGTCCAAGATCAACCTTCTGTTGATGGTTTTCCTGAAGAATGTGGAGGTGATCCTCCTTCTTCATTACTCCATTGACTTTGTGTAAAGCTCCAGGTCCACTGGCAGCAGAACAGCCCCAGAGCATGATGCTGCCACCTCCATGCTTGATGTACTTGGGGTTAAAGGCCTCACCTTCTCTCCCATAAACATATTTCTGCTTATGTTCTGATTGGTCTTTGAAAATGGCTTCAAGTTACTGTCCTGACTTGCTCCAGTCAGTGATGCTATTTCAGATCTGTGCACAGCTGATAATTCAAATGACTGTATATATATTTTGGAGCCAGCAGATTTGGTTATTTTTCCAGAAGATCGATAAATAAATCTTTGAAAGAACCAAAATGCATGCCTTTTATGATTCCATCACAGAAAATTAAGAGTTGTAGGAGTCATGGAAGCCGTGATAAACACGGTCTTTACACGTGTATGTAAACTTTTGTCACAACTGTATATACAGATTATGGACACACACACACATTTGAACAGTTCTTATCTGGTATCTTGTCATTCTTTAGAACCTATCGAAGGAGAAAAGCTGCAGCAAAGACAGCGAGCAGAAGAACAATGCAGGAGGATTTAAAGCAGAGCTCAGATGGATGAAGTTCTACAGTCGGCAGCTTAATAGCATCAACAGGATTTGAATGAATAACCTGCGATTTAAGTGACGCAGCAGCATAGAGGAAGAACAAAAGGCTCAGTTTCTATTAATCCAAATGTCCTTGTTCACGGACTGCAGTGGGAGAGAGGACACTTGTTTCTGGATCAGTCATGGTTTGGCTCAAAGACAACACAGCACATCAGAGTGTCACGGCAGGACTTCCACTCACACACATACACAAACCTGGAAGTCGAGAGCCTCCCAAGTTGTGTAGAGATGTATAATTGATGAGAATAATCCTCCTCTTCCTTCTCCCTGTGCTTTTTTCTTCTTCCCTCTGCCTCCGTGTCTCCCAGCAGATGCTGACAGGACTTTATCTCCGTATGTATTTTTAGATTAATATACGCTACGAGCTCCACAGCTGAGGCAGAAACCTGCGACATGTTAGTCTTATTCAGCTTTTCCAGAACGGTAATGACGGCGTGAGCTGTGCCGGGTCACTGGCTGCCATTAAATGTTTATGAGACGCTCTGCAGCCACATCTGTGTGGAGTACTCACAAAGAGGCTCATGGGAGCTCTAACAGAAAGTCTTTATAGATATAAGGACACTCATATCTGTCCTCGCATACAGATGCAGATGTCACCTCCCTTCGCTCAGTATTTGGCCCGAGACGAGGCAGACGATTGGTCGGTTCCGCCACATGGCTGGGAGGTGATTGGCCGCTGAGCCCTGATGTCCACTCAGTGTCAGCTTGACTCAGCAGCAGCAGCTCTGGATGCTGAGACATCCAAAGCTGCATAAAGTCAGCAAAAAACTCAGTTGGTGTATGTGTGAGATTTTCTCTCTGCAGTCGAGTGTCGCTCACCGCTGCGTGTTTGTGCTGCTTCCTGCAGGCTTCAGGCTCTCAGTGCTGAGCTGAAGGACGCCGAAGGGAAAGTGAGGACGGGAAGAAAACGTAAGGTTACACAAGAGCTCGTCTGGCTCCATGTCTGCTCCTGCTCCAGCCAATCGGAGGTCTACGTCGGGTTCTCGCCGGTAGGTAGCGAATGAGGATGTGATTTTGTGATGCCGGTGTTCACTTGGGGTGTTCTGTGCAATGTCAGGTAGCCAGTGCTGCAATGTTCATCTTATTTCTGCAACTAGGAGAAAAAGCACATGACTAACTTCAGAAAAGACATTTAGGAATCACCAGGAGACGGATGCAGAACTTGCACGGTTTGTAGGACTCGAGGCAATAATGACAGTTGTTTTTTTTTTGTTTTTTTTAATGAATGCAGTGAATAAAAATGGCTGACCTTGTGCAGGATGCAAAAGAGAACACGTGGTTCTACTGAACTCACAGCAACAGCAAAACGCAGCTTTGCATCAGTGGTGATCTGAAACAAAGCACCAGTGCAGCAGCAACGGATCAGATCTTCATATTGTTTCTGTTGTTTTGGTGCATTAACCAGGATTCAGTCACGTTATAGGAAGCAACACAGAAATCAGCACTGTCCAGTCACTGAAAGGTTCTCTCAGGTTGCAAAATGATGCTCTCTAGTCCACACACTGCTGGGACTGGAGGCCCATGAGTGATGCCAAACGTGAGAGCAAAGAGTTTGCAGCAGCAACATTATCACACAATTACAGGATTTATAAAACTTGTGAGTTTATGTTACCCTTTTTTTTTTTATTTAATTTTTTGTATAAATCCGTTAATGTTTTAGATTCACCTGCACATTGAAGGCTTGTCGATTGTCAGACAAAATGAATGACAATAAACTACGACTGATTTATGTAGTAAACAGTAAAATCTTCAATCTAACGAGCTCCATGAGTTCTTCACCTGGAGCTCTTTCCAGCAGTCTTGAGGAAGTTCTCACATATTCTGAGCTCTTGTTGGCTGCTTTTCCTTCACTCTGCTCCAACTGGATTGACCTCCACATCTTAAAGTAATGATTCTCTTTACTCTCTTGAGTTTCCACAGTATGGATTATATGAATATTTGCTGCACTGAGAAGTCGTGAAATTCCTCCAGTTAATGGATAAATCATTGCAGATATGTGTAACCAGCAAACAGTTCTTACTTTGAGGAATCAGAAATATAAAATATATTTGATTTTAAAACATAATTGTAAAAAAAAATAGAGAAAAACCCTCAGGTGTGTTCAAACTTTACTTGGTTTAGTTTATATCATCATGACTGAGATTATATTTGTGAATGCATAACCTCGATAGCTGCGTTACCTGTTTGCCTTCACACACGTGTTAGAAACTGTTCACACAAGACATTGCTGTTTTGGGACTTTAGTTTGTGCTGAAGTCTAACAATTCAAATTAAAACTGTCACAAAAGTCATTTATTGCAGCTTCGCCCTCAGAATGAAGGAGGCTTTGCAGCTAGAATTTTTGAGTTCCAAAAACGTTCTAAGAAAGTTCTGCAAAGTTCCAGTAATGTTTTTTCAGCTGCAAGTTTTCTTTATGTTTGCAGAATGTTCTTCTTAAAGGCAGAATAAAGTTCTCTTAAGACGCTCTAATAATGTTCTAAACACATTTCAATCGAGAACGTCCTTCCTTTGGTATCATAGTTTTTTTTCCTCAACACTAACATCCCCAAAACATCCTCAGAACATTGCAGGAAAAATGTTCCATCTTTTTTAATGTATATAGTAAAAACATCCCAACTAGATTTGTTGCATTTTTTTGAAAATGTTCTAAGAAAGTTCTGCAAAGTTCTCGTAATGTTTTCAGTAGGACGTGTTTTTTAATTCCCAGAAAGTGCTCTTAAAGGTGAAATGTTTTCAAAACATTTCCCAGTGTTGCATTGAGAACATCCTCCCTTTGCTATCATGCAATGTTATGGGAACGTTTTATAGAAGAACGTTCTGAACAGCAACATCCCCAAAACATCCTCAGAACATCGCAGCTAGATTGTTTCTTGTTTTTGAAAACGTTCTGAGAAAGTTTTGCAGAGTTCTAGTAATGCTTTCGGTGGGACATTTTCTTTTGATTCCCAGAACGTTCTCAACAGCAGCATTCCCAAAACCTTGGTTAAGTTTGTTAATATAATAAATTACAGGAGCATTTTATCAAAACACATTCTGTCCTCTGAGGCCTCGATAACATCTGGAAAACTTTTACTGAACGTTGGTTTGAGAACGTTCCTCTTCTGTTATCGTGGAACATAATCTGACAACATCCTCCAAACATCTTCTGAATGTTCTGTCTCAGTTCAGTTTTAACGTCATACGAACATTATTAGAAATGATAAAAATCCTGAAAACGTTCTTTGAACATTAGATTAAAATGTTTTCTTTCAAACATTATTAGAACTTGCAGGTAATGCCAGACAATGTTATGTTGAATGCTGGGTTGAAGCTTCATAGTTTGCTGTGTGAAGCTTCATCGCAGCTCCTGAGAGATGCTTTATTAATGCAGATCCAGATGTTTTAAACCAGCTCAGTGTATTAATGCATTAATCGTTTTTCCTACAGCGTCCTTTCATCAGCCGCTGGTCACTCTGCTGCTGCTCTCTGACCTCTTTAGTTCAGGTTTATATGTGAGGACGTACTGTGTGAGTGCTACATGCATGTGTTTGTAGCATCATTATTGAAAATCTTTCTCACAGCACAACTTTCCTCCGATTCAACCAGAACTGTTGGCTCCACTTCCTAATAAGAGAAGCTTAACATGTGGGTTTTGAGTTGTAATTAATGGCTTTATTTACAATTAAGACAACATTTGTTCCCTTAAATTGCAAAAAAAGAAAACCTCAGTCAGTCTACATATGACTCAGAGGGTTATTTAAAAATAATAAAACAGACACTGACAGAATCTCTTTCTTCTAACTAAACAACATGAGTTGGTCCTAATGGAAAGTTATGACTGATACATAAAACATTAGTAAGTCATTTATTACTCATCGATAAAGACATTAATTACAGCTTGTAGCAAAGGAATAGCCGTAAAGGCAAATTTTAAAAGACTAAAAATAAAACGTCAGATAAAATAAACTCATAATAAAAACTAAACCTGACTCCTTTTATTAGAAAGTGGCGCCATAAACCCTCTCGACGTCCCTTTACAGTCTGGTTGTATCAGTATTTTTGTTTTCGGAGGAGCTGTGGTTTTATTGACATGAAAAAGAGCTTAAAATAAACCAGATGTAGTCGACGACACTCAAACCAAGTTCATCGAATGTATTGATGTTTTCTCCTGCAGCTGCTGGGCTTCCTGTTTACTGGACGTATGTTAAAGGATAACACGGTTCTGTGGTCTGTGGGGATTCAGGGTTTACTTCTGCACGTCCATTAAGACGTTCAGGCTCAGATTTCAGGGTTCTCACTCTGCAATGCAAATGCTGCAACGCTACACAATGTACGGCCTGCGTTATGCTTAATTTAAACTATGACTTGATTTACTGGGGTGGTCCAGGTTCACACAATCAGCACTTTAATACCACAGAAAGCCCGTCTGGCACCGGCTGACGAGCTGAATAATCACAACCTGAGCATCTCTGTGTGTTTTAATCAGAATTCTCATCCAGCTGCTGCTTTATGTGCGGCTCGCAGGCTGATGGATGCTGTTTGAACTGGAGCCAAGGCGTCTCCTTCAGTGGTGGTTGTGGTTTTACTGGTGCTGTGTGGCTGCAGACGGATCAATCTGTAGCTCTGGTGTCCTCCTCTCTCTCGTCTTTCCTTCCTCAGATTCAACCCCCTGAAGGCGCTGCAGCCCAAACGCCGCTTGCAGCAAATTCTGGCGTCCTCGCCCGTGCCGGTGCCCAAGCCGGCGTCGGGGTCGGGGACGGCGGCGGCGGCGGCGGCGCCAGCGGCCTCGGCGCCGGTGGCCATTCCTGTGCCGGCGCCGCCTGCGTGAGCCACACTTCAGTCTCAGAGAGCATGCTCAGTAGCTGTAGCTGTCGCTCTCACGTGCATTGTAGCCACTAAAGCTAATCCTGGAAGCTAGCACGACCAACAACAGCACACAGGCAGCTCATCAGCTAATTAGCCGTTTGCTAACACCTGCTACTGCTACGTCTGTCAAGCTTTCAATTCTGGCATCGAGATTCAGACTGATAACTGATAAAACACTGGAAATTCACAGCACTTTTTTAAAAAATAAAGTTGTTTCTTGCTATCAGACAGTAGTAACAGAAACACTTCCTTATTTCTAGCGTCGTCATTTCCCTCAATCAGAGCCGCTAAAGACCAACATGCTGACGGCCAAATGCCAAACTCCAGGCTTTAATATAGTATTTTGAATTCTGAGCAAGTGTTTTTAACTGCTAATGAATCCACCTTTGTTTTCAAACTTGCAGAAGCAATATTTCTAAGTGAACAAAATTCAAATAAAAATGGAGGCTCCTCACGTCAGCCTGATCGTTGCCAAAATAAAGTAGAAAAACACAAACATGAGCTGCTTTTCTCACAAAAAACAACAACAAACTATCTAGTAAATAAATTGTTTGATAAAGATAGTGCTGATTAATGCAAAGTTCATTAGCCGGACATGCTAACGATTGCAGCTTGTGTTGGAGTACATACACTAAATGCACAGTTAAATCCATTTCTTCTGCTCTCGTGTTTTTGGTTTTAACCAATGAAAAGACGCCAGTTTATAAACTCTTTAAATGTAGAAACTCTCCACCAGTTACAGAAGCCATGTTTAGAAGTCAAAGCTTGACAGGCCGCTGTGTGGTTGGTAAACGGTGGTTGATCAGTGAAAAGTCTTTTCACAAATATCCCTCCAGTTGAATAAAACGATTCCACTTTAAATAACAACAAAACTGAAATTCTCAGAGTTGATGTCAGCATAGAAGGTGGATTTAACAGCAGCAAAGACCTGTGTGTGTCTGTTGTTGTGTCACATCACCAGGTAAATTCATATATGAATCGGAGGACACCATCTGGTACCAAACAATCCTTCTTAGCATGAAGTTGTGTTTAGCGGCTACATGCAACACGTGGCTGTGGAAGCACACTGTGATCACCAGTGATCACTGGTTCACCACAGACACCCGGTCGGCTGCACCCTCAGAGACACCGGCATTGCCTGAAATGCGCATTATGGTTTATTTGAATTGACTCCAGCCTCTTGAGCAAAGTCTCTGTCTCGTAAAGGAGTATTTCTGCACTTTCACCCGCTCACACTGACTAACACCTGACTGCTGGGAAACGCTCACCTCCACCAGAAACCCACCAGCGGTCCACACAGGCTCCATCCCAGCAGATTAATGGGATAAAGTGTGGATTCTGCTTCAGCTGCTCCTCCCTGCTTGTTTTCTGTCCTGTCCACGTCTCGGCTTTTGTCATATATTGATCTTCAAAGAGCTATTGAGCAGTCAATATCTGGCCTCCTGCATTGTTTGTGTCACACAGGACACGGGACTCGGCACAGCGGCATTCATAAAAACAAATATAAATACATTTGCATTTAAGCCTCTAGAGCTGAAGCATCTTCTGGACGTTTTTCTGTTTTGGTCGATATGGGCTCATTTTTTACTCCAGTATAAAGTCTTGCACTTCTATGGAAACAGACCAAACATGGCAAGAAGTAGAGAGAACTCAACTGTCTTCTGTTCAGTACGACACAGATGTGATGCCATAAATCATTTTCCAAATGCATACAGGTGTTGCCAATACTGTAAAAGAAAATGGTGGCACCATATGCTATAGATGTTTGACCTCTTTTACTTTTACTATTTTTAATTTACTTCCATATTTGTATACTCGCCAGTCTGCAGTTCAGCCAAAAGGCCTTGAATTTTTGTTGGTTGTAACTGCGTCACTAATCTACTGTTGCACTGCAAAGGCAAGAATTTTTGATTTAGAACAGAATCTGATCATTTTTAGATGTGACATGTAAAATACAAAGACTTCTATGAAAACACATAACCTTCGTGATCTAACAACGTGTTAGACTCAATGTGTTCCACCATTAAAAGTTTGAAAATCTGATTCTGTTCTTCCAGTTTTCAGTTGACATCATTTGTGAGATTTAGTTTAACTCTTTACGTTTCTGTCGGACATGACCAGTTCTTGCAGGTTTAAATACAGAGATGGTTTCAGTGCATCACTATGTCCATGTTTTGGATCGCAGTGCTTCGTGGAGTTACCGTGTCCTGTGTGCAAATCCCTCATGGCTGCTCTGATTGGCCCTGCTTGTCCCCGCCTCCGTCTGTGGAGGCCCGTGACTGGGCAACAATCATGTCCTTTTTCAGGAAACAGGTCTTTACAGCGTTTGCTATAAGTCAAACCAATAATTATAGAACATTAAAGGAACGTTTTGACAGAAGTTGCCCATCACAGATCACCCCTCCTTCTCCTGGCTGGTGCACATGCACTGTGATACTCAACTTTGCTTTCTTTAGCAGGATGATAGCAATGTGCAAAGGTGAAACTACGTATTCATTTTGCTTTGTTTTAGATGACATATGTGGTTTTACGTTGGTTCTGTGGTAATACTTTGGCTCTTATTCTCTGATGTGCAGCTCATTTTGTTTGACCACTAAGTGTCAAGTTAGAGTCAAGAGGTGGCTAGCTTAGCTTAGCATAAAGGGCTGAATCAATGATCCTGACTCTTAAACTAAATATTCTAAAGTGAAGTCGGCAGAGCTTTACCACTTGAAAGAGACTTTTTTTTTAATGCATAGCAAATACACATTCAAAATTGTTTTTATAAATTCATAAAAATACCCAAATGCTTGCATACAGTCGCATGTGCCCATGTCTATAACATTACCTGAAATCCCTGCATCAGATCAAAATTTTAGTTGGTAAGTGGTGACATCCTGAAATCTCTGCTGGTACAAAGTCAGGCATGCTAGCAGTTTCCCTTTGTTTTCAGTCTTTATGCTAAGCTAAGCTAATCACCTCCCGCCAGCACAGTGGTATAGATGATCTGATGTATTTTCTATAGCAATGATATAAATGGTAAATTATATTCTGCCCGTGCAGTGCAGGAGGATGTTTCTAAATTATGAGCTGAGGACAGAGCAGACTTAATAGTTACACAACTTAGAGTTGCTTTCATAACAGAAGAGGAAGAAGAAATACACTTTTCCTGGTAGGGTGTTGAGAGAAAGACTAGCAGGGGGTCAGATTAGCCTCGATCATGTCACAGCTGAGACAATCTGGTGTGATTCTGACATGGAATGGACCACAGTGTCCTTTCAAAGTGCATCCAGATATACAAGCAAACAGGCACATGATCACTGTCTTTTGGGTTGTAATGAGGTGTCAGAGGTTTTGTTACGACTTTGATGGCTAAATTTCATAGAGGTATTTCAGTGAAAGCTTGTTTGTACTTAGGGGTCCTTCTTGTGTGTTTTGTGTGTCTAGGAAGCTTTGAGAATATGACATTGGTGTCTACAGCCATCGCTTAAACCAGTTTGTGGCTCCTAACTTTCTCTCTGAGCAATGATCTTTTTCTTTTGAACTCATGTGTGTGGTGAGTTTGATAGACAACATGAGATTCAGACTACATGTTAACTAACAGTCACTTCAGAGTTATTGACCGAGTTGCTGGTCTGCAGCTATATTTGAGATTTTATAACTACAATATTGTCTGACCTGCTCACCATACAGACGAGTTTAAAACATCCACAGTGCTGAGAATGGAATGATATTTCCATGTGAAATGATCCTCAGAGAGAAAGTTAGAATCACTAGGAAGTTCTGGTCTCACAAACTCATTCACGTCTGTATCAGCAGCCCTGTGGTCAATCAGAGATGCAGAGAGAGTCTTCTTCCTGAGGGGGGCGCTGACAGCAGCAGCTCAGATGCATTTAAAGATACAGACACTGAAACATTTTGTTCAAAGGAGGAATAAAACCAAGAGTTATGGAGTTATGGTAAAATAAACCATCTTTGCACACATTCTAAGGACTATTTAATTAATCTGTTGAAGAATGGGAACAACATGGGACTTTTAAATGCTCCTCTATGAGGAGGCTGTTTTGAAAACAACACTAATGCTGCGGCTGCTCCTCTGCTTCTCTCAGGAGAGTCTCGGGATATTTTATCTCTTGCAAATAGCGTTTCAGGATGCCGAGGTTTAGTTTTATGTTCTATGCCAGTAAAGGTCTCGTAGCTGCAAATTGCTTCACAGAAATGTTCCATATGGGAAGCCAAAGAAAGCCTCAACGAGTGGAGCAGGGCTTTCAGAGAGCCACCTCTCCTGGGCCACTTCAGTGTTTGAATGCTTGTTGATATTTGGCATACGCGCTGCCTGCAGCTTTACCTCAGAACTACAGCTAAATGCCAATATTGCCATGTGCATACGTTCACAGCATGCACATTGTGTAGTTCAGGTGTGGTTCACTGTGTTGTCCTCTGTGATTTAACACCCTCTTGTCTCTGCCTGGTCAGGTTTGACTACTGCAGGTTCATTGAGCTAGACTACGTTCCCATGGAGACAGGCTATATGGTCTCAATGCGCCCGACTAAAGGTTATGCATCAACCAAGTCGCCGACTAAAGGATACACTTCCACCAAGTCTCCGGACCGCCACAGCCGCTCAACAAACTCTCCCTCCACCCCTCGTTCCCGGTCTGTCCTGAGTCCGTCTCTTCCTCCCTCCTGATCAGTGTTAACCCTCTAAAGCATGGGAATGACGAGCGCCTTTGCACTGCTGTGAATGTTTCATGACTTCTCGTTGTAGGAAACATCTTTAGTAGAGAATTGTTTCCACTCCATCATTCCTAGTCTGACCTTTTGCTCCCTCCCTCTTTTCTGTGTTTGTTCTCTTTTCTTTTATTCTGGTGCAAACTGTTTTTACTTTATTTCTTTTGAGGAATGCCTCTTACGTTTATGTCACTGAGTGTCTAATTTGTTTAGATTTTTAGTTGGATTTCCATGTTTGCAGAGCACATTTCCTTGTTGAAAAAGCATCACTGTAATAAGTCAGTGGCCGGAGGACTGTGTTCAATTGTTTCTCAGTCTTTGCACATCTGTGTTGTATCGGTGTGTTGGTGAACCCGGACTGACGTCTGCTGCATTCGTGGTGTCTGTTTTGATCGGTAGTTTCATGATGGTTGCTCACTCAGTGTCTGGTTTCATGGTGTTACCAGAAGCAGGCTAACATGTCTCCTCTTGCTTTGAACCAGGCGGACTCCGGCCACGCCCAGCAATAGAGATCCCTATGGCAACGCCTCCCTCAGCAGCAGCAGCAACTCAGGCTCTTGTAAAGGCAGCGACTGCAGCCCCACCAAAGGGTGAGACATCGGAAACTGCATGGCCTGTTCTGAAATGGAGATGAAATGCTTCTCTAAGTCAATGCCCCTGGGTGGATTGACTGCACTCATCTCAAAACAAATAAAAGAAAAGAAACTTTGTGTGACTTATTAACTCAGTGAAAGCAGACGTGATGTGCCAGCTGTGATAATGGCCCGATAATCAGAGTGAATATTCATTTCATTAAAGTTCATCACAGAAAAAGAGATGTAGGCGGCAATAAAAGGTCCAATTTTAATGTTTTTCAGTGATAATGTCAGAAGCAAAGTGATTCACCCTAGTTTTAGTTTCTGAAAGTATATAAGGTGCATTTTCAGTCTCTTCTTTCTGCTTTGCTAATCCATATTTTTCATACTTTGAGGAAAGAATTTGAAATGTGTTGTGTACCCACAGAGAATTATCACCCAGCTCATACAGCCCAGCTGGATAATCATAGCTGTGGTTTACAGCAGAGTAAAATCTCCACTTTAAACTACCTGGAAGGCATCAAACTACACTGATTTCAGGTCTGAACACAACATCTACCTTCTTACCTGCCAGTCGGCTAACTAGGCTGAAGAGAATCTGTGACTGTTATGAACTGAAAACAACAGATTGAAGATGGTAGAAATGTGCACAAAGAAGCTAAAGACAAGACTAGTGTAGTGATGCAGTGACTCGAACCGGCAACCTTCTTGCTGCGAGGCAACGGTGCCAACCACTGATCCACCTTGCAGCCCGCAAAGAAACCAGAAAATCTCAATTGTCTAATATGGTCTAAACACAACCAGACTACTATCTGAGCAAGAAATGGCTACCCAAAATGTCAGACCTTGCCAGGCGTTCAGACCAGTTTTTCAGTACTTGACACATCCCTTCCTACAGATGATGCCAAACAGTAAACTTGCTTAAAAAGGGCTCCATTTCATTTGCTGGTATCCTTTGTGTTCCAGACGTCACCAGAAGTACACGTCATGTACAGACAACCATGGGATTCGCCCGCCTCCCCCAGAGCAGTACCTCACACCCCTGCAGCAGAAGGAGGTTTGTATTCGACACCTGCGGGCCAGGCTAAAAGAAACCATCACCACACTGCAAGACAGGTGAGATGCTGAGACAGAAGGAGAAATTATCCAAAAAATTGGTTCTTTTGTTGTTTGACTTGTTATTGACTTGTTATTGTTCTAACCATTTCCTAAATTTGCATCCTCTTAGGGACACAGAGATAGATGAGCTGAGAGGTCGACTTTACCGGATGCAGGAGGACTGGGTTGAGGAGGAGTGTCATCGTGTGGAGGCTCAGCTGGCCCTGAAGGAGGCGCGTCAGGAAATCCAGCAGCTCAAACAGGCTGTGGACACTGTTCGTGCCAGGCTCAGTGATGCCGGCGGACTCAGTGGGGACCCAGGGGTCCAGAAGTACTTCCAGGACATCAACACCCAGAACCACAAGCTCGAAAACCTTTTGCTGAGCATGGAGTTGGCCCAGGCCGGTTTAGCCAAGGAAGGGGAAGCCATACCAGGCTGTCGGACCCGTGTTGGGGGTTCAGCACCAGCATCTGTTTCGGGGGAAAGTCCTGGGGGAGTACCCAAACTGACAGTAGGAGGTAGGGGGTCTTGCTCTTGCGATGGTTCTCCAGCACGTTCTCTGACTCGAAGCTCCACCTACACCAAGCTGAGCGATCAAGCGCTGGCGGACAGGAATGGCAACGGTTCGGATTTTCCTTGTCTTTCAGGTGATGGCACCCAAGACAGCGGCTTTGTGTGCTGTGGGGAGAGCAGCGTTCCCAGCCGGGCCGACCTGCTGCTGGAAGCCGCCTTTCTATCAGAGGAAACGGCATCTTTACTTAACTCCTACTCTCAGACCTTCTCCCACTCTTTGCCTCACTCTCTACCCAACTCTCTGCCTCACTCTCTACCCAACTCTCTGCCTCACTCTCTACCCAACTCTCTGCCCCACTCTTTGCCCAATTCCCTGCCTCACACCTACTCCCACACCTTACCTCATTCCTTCCCTCACAATCTGTCCCACTCAGTGCCACATACTATGCCGCACTCCTCCACCTATGAGAAGCTGTGCACAGGTGAGCGACTGGCACCTTTTCGTTGTGGTCTGGGAGGAGTGAGCTGCATGAGCCACCCTTGCCTGTCTCACCACCACCTGTACCTGCATCCCTTGAGGGAGATGGGCATTCAGACGGAAAGCTGCCCCATCCCCGCCACAGCAGGGTACCCCTCTGATCTTGACACCATTGCAGAGCAGCGCACTTTCCGGTCCCAGGCCTGCAGCCCCACCTCCACCTGGATGTCTGACGAGGGGGATGAGGAGCTGGACTCCATTACCACGACGACTTCGGTTACCACAGCGACTGTCATGAGTACAGCCACGGAGCCAATCCCGGTTTCCACAACACCACTGGTCCCTCCTTTGCCACGATCTGCCACTGTGGCCGGCTCCATGGAGAGTCCTTTGTGTGGTGGGAAGGAGGTGGAGGAGGAAGAGGAAAAACAGGAAAAGGAGACGCGAGAAAAGGAAGCTTCTCCAACGGAAGAGAAGGTGGAAACCCCTGTGGTCAGACTGGTAGAAGAAGTGCAGCAGACGCAGTTGGACCCAGTGGAAGGGAAGGAGGTGGAAGTTCAGGGTGCTGGGGAGGTAGCACAAGGAAAACTGTGCGATTCAGCAGAGATACCAACAGGGACACAGGGTGAACTTAGGTTCGTAGGGTGCTGTGGAGAGGGCATGCAGGGTGAAACAACACCTGGAAACCCTAAAGTTGAGGACAGACAGCAAGAAGTTTCTTTATCAGCAGGCTCAACCCAAACAGAGACAGTTGAGCCAAGTCCAAGTAGCCCGGGATTATCTCCAAGCATAGAACAACCTCATACTTCCCAACCAAGGAGATCTAATTCCCATGAGGAGATAGCTGGCGTCACAGTGGTGGAGGTGCACGACGAGGACGATGAAGAGGATGAAACTAAAGAGCAAGGTGCGGCAGGCGGCGCTGCAGCAGAGGATGAAGATTCTGGGACAATTCAAAAAAGCTACTGGAGTCGTCACTTTCTAGTGGATCTGCTAGCGGTGGCCATCCCGGTGGTGCCAACGGTCGCTTGGCTTTGTCGCGGTCCTGTCCGCGACGGTCAACCCATGTATCATATAGGGTCACTGCTGAGAGGCTGTTGCACTGTGGCGCTGCACTCACTTCGCAGGGGAGGTGGGTTGAGGCATTACCCCGCAGGCGGGGGAGACTTGGGGGGAACACAGATGTAAGAGGAGGGTCTGATAAGCAGCCTCAACGGTCCTTAACCAAACCTCACCTGTATGGGTTGTTGCAAGATACCTACAGCGTGAGTACAGGAAGAGAAAGAACCTCCTGTCCTGCACTTCTTATCAAGGTTAGCAGCTGAGAGGAGTATAAAAATCGGGAAATGTGCATTTAGGACCATGATCTCTGACTGGTCAACTACTCTGTTTGGTCCTGCTCCTCATTGTCTCTCACCCAGTGGTCCTTGCTGTTGCTACCTAGATGTCTGTCAACACGACTGACTTGTGCAAAACTGGATGAGCTGATTGAAATGAATGATCTATGCTTGGATGTTTGACGCTGATTGTTGTTTTTCTTTGTTCTTAAATGCAGGGAGAATGTTAAAGATTCATTGATATGTCAACCTATCAATTCTGACATGTTCAAATGTTCATGAGTTAGTGAGTGTGTACGTGAAATGAAACACAGCATGTGAGTACAGCCTTGTGCAATATCATTTCAATGTTAAATGTTCCTAAATGGTATCACCTCTACAGTAATTGTATTACTTCTAAGTTGAACAGGAGGCATTTGCTCGTGTTAAATTACAAGTTAACAATTTAGATTTGCTACGTAATACTATATTCTCTTTAAAATAGTACAGAGGTGTTCTGTTGGATTCAAGTCAGAGCGCGTACTTGTCAAGGTCATAGTTTGTTTCTTTTTTCTTTTTTGGGAACACCTTGAGATGTTGGTCATTGTCCTCTGTCAAGACTGAGACCGACAAGATCAGCCAACATCGGGTTTATATCCTCGTATCATCACACTCCCACCGCCGTGATTCACTGTCAGGACTTCATTCACTGTAGTCGTCTCGCCCAGATTCGCTCCAAACATGCTGGACTCCTTCTGAGCCCCACAAATTTGTCTTATGTTAACAAATGCTCCCAGTCTTCTTCAGGATTTGTTTCATGCATTTTAAGCAAAGTTTCTTCCTGCAGTTTTGTGCAGAAGAGCAGGCTAGCTCTCAGCTGTCACAAACTCTGATTTCCATTGATAAACCCAGTGTCAACTCTAAAGTAGACGCTGTCAGTTTTTTTTTTACAGTAGTTCACTCTCTGTGGCATCATTTTAGGAAGACGACCACTGCAGCTCTGATTGGTGGTACTATGGTTCCTCCTGTACGTCCTGATTACAGCTGCTGATTTTTAGTCGGTCAACAGTCGTCCTGTATCACTTTCCATCTTAACGACGTTTCACAATCAGATTTTTACGTTCCTCTGGTAATTGTTTTCCATGTGGAGCCATGATACAGACATGCAGATAAACACAGCCCATAGGTTCCAAAACTAAGAAAGTTCTGGTGTTCCCGGGTCATTTTCTTACCATGTTCATACCGTTGGGCTGATTGGAAATCACAGAAGGACTCTGTTTCAACAATTTCCCTGAGGTTCTACCAAAGGGATCAATAAAGTTCTATCTATCTATCTATCTATCTATCTATCTATCTATCTATCTATCTATCTATCTATCTAGGTTTAGTTTGAGTGATCACAGGTTTTCTAACTTGTGTGTCCGTTGCTAGAAATAAAGCAGTTATTGAGAGGTGATTCAGTTTTGAGTCATTTGACATTTAAGTGACGTTGCACTGAGATGTACTCACTTCTGTTGTATTCTGCATAATGTATAAAAGCGTGTACGTGTATAACCAAGTTACAACAAGCTACACTCTGTTCATTGGCCAATGACTGAGAGAAAATCCACCCTAATTCAGAATTTGCATGTTTCTTGTGACTTGCCGACACTTTTCATTGAACTTTGGCATCTTCGAAACTTAACTGGAGCTTGTCTGCAACATACACACAGAACTCAGGTATGTTCTGAGGGCAGAAACGCACCAAACCCAGTCAGGTTTTTCAATCTACTCTTACTCCTTCCAGATTAAACAAGAATTTGCCTTTGAGTTTTTTTTACCGGTGACTCATTTTAGAAGCGGTGCAAATTTCTGCAAGATCAGTTGTCGTTTGATGTTCAGTTTTGGAAGTCACGACACCCGACCAGGCAGCTGTTCAGGGAATAGATCCATGACTTTGTAGATGATGCCAGAACTTGCACAGAAGTTTCTAATGAGAAAAGGGATTTTACGACTCTGGAAAAAGTTCATTGTGGCAGTTATTCACTCTTTTGTTGTGACAGTCGTGAACTAGTCTTAACTGAGACTGTTCTTGGGAAGAAAACAAACTTAATTTGTCTGATCAGGCAGGATAAAAAAAAAAAGAGGAATTAGTTCAATCCCAGTTCATACTCTTGGATTTTGACCTACATTGTTAATCTGACAATCACTTGGTTTTGTTTTGAAATTCCCAGCGGATCAATCAGCTGCTTTTCTGTCCACCTGCACTTTAAACATGAGTGTAAAACCCGACCGTGGAAACAAACAAAATCAGACAAATCTTGAAATATTGCAAACATTTTTTTTGTGAAGTGCTGTGAAAAGAGGTTCCTTTAACTGTGTCTTCTCATTACGCTCTTTTCTTCTGCATATGTTTTATGGAACCTGACTGGAGAGTTAGTGCCACCGGCTTTTCATCTCGATGAGTCAGCTCTTGGTATTTGCATAATGGTTTTGGATGAAATCGGATATGCATTTACATTTTCTTTTGAAGATTTTCTCAGGATTTGGTGAAAAGTTGTGCTGTATTCGGTTGGATATCTGGCTAATAACGTCTGTTTCTGCTCTCTTCTCTGTGGGCTTTGCTTTTGAAGGTAGCTCTTTCATTTCCGCCCTCAATCCCAGTATTTCCAGGAACAAAGGCAAGATCTCATGAATAATGAGGGATACGGCACTTCTCGTAGAAAATGAAAGGCAGCTGGTGATTGTACCCGCCTTGGTGTGTTGGTTGTGTTTCTGCCCTGAGAGAATTATGATTGAATCTCCAGAAATCAAATAAAAGTGATTCAGAATTCAGGTTTATTCCCTTGAACAACAACATTAGAAGAGCTACACGCTTTCAGACTCCAGCCAAACCTCGTGTGTTTTCCTTTGATCTTCTCCATTTGGACTGTGCAGTTACAGACCATATATACTTTCGACTATTTTACAGTGAACTGTGACGGAAGATTTCCACATCGTTGGAAATGCTGGAACAGACATAGATGAGATTGCACTCTCACATCTGTACGCTAAATATGAAGCATTAGCCAGCAGATGTTTAGCTTAGCTTAGCATTAAAGGTCCCATATTGTGCCGTTTTTCAGCAAATTAATCAAAGTCCCACATGTCTCCAAAATGTTTTTAGTTCAAAATGGCTCATTTCACAAAGACTGAATAACTTCCTGTTTTAAATGCTGCTGAGCTGCTGCTGCTTCCTCTCATCAGGAAGAAAACTCTCTCTGTGACTGACAGACCAGAGAAAAACAGAGTTGTGTTAGCAAAAAGTTTGCATGAAAATATCGCAGAATTCCTACAGGTGTCTTGTTTAACTTGTGTGTTTTGGTGAATTTGTCAGACGACCATTTAAAATCTGTATTTTAGCCTCAGAGCTGCAGCTTGGAAATGAATCTGAAGTGACTGCTGGTCAACATTTAGTCCTACTGAGCCGTGTTTCAGCCACTATCTCATACTTGTTCCATTTTCTGACAACAAAAGCAGAAAAATATGTGTTAACATGCAGTTTGTGTGAGCACAGAGAGCAGGAGAGAAGCAAACGGAAGTGAAAAGACAAAATAAAATACTTGGATTTTCACCATATGGGACCTTTGAAAGCTCAGTCCAGCTCAGTCCAACGGGAAAACGAACAAACAACAGCTACCCGCACATCCAAAGCTCACTCATAACTACAGGTTTTTTCTTAATTTGGGGTTTTATGTGGGGTTTCTTTTATAGCTTTCACATCATTTCATGACATTCTTTGTTGTTGGGTTTGTCGTTGTTGTGGAGACCAACATGCACATTAAACTTTAGGGTGGAATATTTTCTGTACTCAGTCGTGTGGTTGGTCCATGAAACTAACATCTGAAGCAAATTCATCAAACCGCTGAATTACTGAAAACAACTTAATTCAATTTGGGTTTCCTCCATTTCACTTTTAGGAATTCTCTTTAAGTGACTAAATCTCATATGAATTCTGATCGAACTCTTTGTTTGTAGATACTCACTGGCTCAGTTTGACACCTTGATGTAGATCTGAATGAAGTGAGTTGTGCTCAGTCTGTGACCTGTGCTGTATATTTCTGCTAAACCTAACGCTCTTGTGGTGTAGTTTTTATCTGGTAGTGTGTATTTCAAGTCCACCGTACAAGAGTTAGTCAGCCACCGCCAATAAATCAACTTTATTTGTTCAACAAGTCATTCTGCAAAGCATTTCTAGACACGGAGTACGACATCATAGCTGACACTCCAAATGTACATTGATAAGATATCTGGGTTGTAATCGCGTTTAGAATCAGGGTATTTACTTTGTGTGAATTTGTGCGTTTTGAGAGGACTTTGATGAAAGTGGCATTTCTTCTTTGTGCTGATCTTCTGCAGACATTAAACTGGATGTTCAACAGGAACAAATAACCAAGTCATGGACGGATTACTGGACGGGTCGGCTGGGCACAGGTTGTAGGGTTAGTCACCTCCGCCACAGACTGTTCATGGTAACCGTTAAGTCTGCCGGAAAAGATCTAGAAAGACTACAGAGAGACGTTAAAGTACTACAAAGAGACAGAAAACTACGACAACGAGACAAAACGACTACACAGAGATACAAAACAACTAAGACAAGACATAAAACAACTACAGGGAGATGCAAAACAACCACAAAGAGTCACAAGACAACTACAGAGAGACAAAAACAAATAGAAAGAGAAGCAACACATCCGCAGAGATGTACAACGACTATAAAGAGATACCAAACAACTAGAGAAACAAAACTACCACAGAGACCAATAAAAACAAACCCAAATAGACAGAAAACAACTACAAGGAGAAGCAAAACAACTCTAAAGAGAAATAAAAACAACTACAAAGAGACACCAAACAACTGGAGAAACGCAATAAAGCTGCAAAGAAATAAAACAACTACAAGAACACCAAAGCGACATAAACCTACAAAGACATGCAAGATAACTACAGAGATACGACTACAGACAGGCCTAAGAGAACCACAAATAGGCAAAACAACTACAAAGTGAAACAAAACCTCCACAGAGATGCAAAACAACTACGAACAGACACAAAGCGTCTACTAGGAGAGACAACATGACGACGAAGAGCCTCAAAACAACTACAAAGAGACAAAATGATTTTGAAAAGACGCAAAACAACTACAAAAAAATAACACACAAAGACACAAACAACGACAAACAGACACAAAGCATCTAATAAGAAAAACACAATGACTACAAAGAGATTCAAAACAACTATAAAGGGGCAAAATGACTACAAAGACACAAAACAACTACAAAAAGAAAAGTACATGAAGACTCAAACAACTACAGAGAGACACAAACCAACACATACACATGGAATACAGCTACAACCAGGAACAACATTACTATAGAGACTCAAAACAACTTCAACGAGACACAAAACAAACTACAGAGAAACACAAAACAACTACAGAGAAACACAAAACTAACTACAAAGAGACACAAAACAACTACAAAGAGACGCAAAACAGCTACAAAGAAACAAAACCAACTACAAATCGACACAAAACAAACTACAGAGAAACACAAAACTAACTACAAAGAGACAAAATCAACTACAAAGAGACACAAAACAACTACAAAGAGACGCAAAACAGCTACAAAGAAACAAAACCAACTACAAATCGACACAAAACAACTACAAAGATACAAAACTAACTACAAAGAGTTACAAAACATCTACAGAGAGACACAAAACAACTACAAATAGACACAAAACAAAGACAGAGAGACACAAAACAACCACAGAAACCGAACAAATCAGGAGGTGCGAGTTTTTTTTCCCACTGCTGTGCCCAGAAGCCCTCTGAGTCTCATAATCCGTCCATGAAACTGTAAAAAATCAAAACGTTTCCGTCAGAGACTCTGAAGCCAAAAAAACACGTTACTTTGAGAAACACTCCGACGTAACCAGCGAAATTATTCCGACACGGAGCGAGTCGTGGAGTTTCCCTTTGAAGGAATACACAGTTTATTTTTGAACCGTTGGTTTGACATATTTTGCACTATTGTTCACTTTATGGATTTTAAGCAATTACTTGAAGTTCAGATTGTATACGTTTCCAAAGTGTCCACTGAGTTCCGCCTGATTGTTCCGTCGCTGATGTATCGATGATGTTTGAGGCAAAAATGAGGTGAAGTTTAACTGAGACCATGCAGATGTTTGAGCATTTTACCCTTAAAAAAAAACACCACTAGATGTCATTGTTTCTGCAAATACTGTATTCTTTCAAGCTTAATTTGATTTCTTTACATTTGTCCACGCGAACATGTCCAACGTGCTGCTGGTAGAGGAAGTGCAGCGTTGACGCCACGTGGTCAGATTGTCATTTATCACTGACAATCACGATAATCTGCGTCTGTTATTGAAAAGGTCGAAGGAAGGCCTCAGAGACCAACCGGACCGTCTCTGCTCGTCCATAACTTCCCCCAGCATTGCTCTGGCTCCGGTTTCCATCCCGACTGTGTGAGACGTTGTGGTCAAAGCGGATTTGGAGGCTGAAACATTTTACAAGAAGCCATAAACTGTGATCCTGAATGTGGGAGGCAGCCTCCGCCTCTCGATGTTAATGTCCTGAAAGATGTTTGAATGATTCCTGCTGTGAGTTTACAGTCAGCAGTGTGTTGTGATGAATACGAGGTGGAGGGAGAGATCTGTTCACTGATGCTGTGAGAGGAGGTCCAGGTTGAGGAGTTCAGGCCTGTTGTGGGCAGCAGCCGCCATGTAAACCCATTGATGTACCTCTATGCACTACAGTTAGCAGCATCGTGTGTTGGTCTGTGCTGACAATTTACTTTCTCATCTTGTTGTAAAATCACGTCCTGATTCCTGAAATACTGAGTTATGAAGCCTCGGACGTCCCGAAACATGTTTTTTTATTTATTTTGTGCATAACCTGGTTAAGCAAGACGACAGATATGGAAAGTTATCTGGTTCACAAGTTATTCTGGTGTCTTGTTCACACAATTTATCTTATTTCTTCACAAGTTAATATCTTGTTTGTACATGTTACTATCTTGTTCCCACAAGTTAATTTCTTGTTTGAACAAGATGTAATTTATTATCCTGTTTGCCCAAGTTAATACCTTACCTGTTAATATCTCGTTTTTCCAAGTTATAATCTTGTTATTACCTTGTTTTTTTTTTTTTAGTTATCTTGTTTTTACAAGTTATTATTGTGTTCTCACAAGTGAATATCTCGTTTTTTACAAGTCAATATCTTGTTTTTATGATGTATTGTCTAGTTTTTACAAGTTATTATCTTGTTTTCCCTTGTTACCTTGTTTGAACAAGTTATTATCTGGTCCCCAAAGGTAATATCTTGTTTTTTGCAAGTTAACATCTTGTTTTTACAAGTTATTAACTTGTTCTCATAAGTTATTTTATTGTCTTTTCAATTTATTATCTAGTTCACATAAGTTACTATTATTGTTTTCTGTAGTGATCTTGTTTGCACAATCTAATATCTTGTTTTTACTGTTACTTTGCTTTTACAAGTTATTTTCTTGTTCTCACAAGTTATTCCCTGGTTCGCGGTAGTTAGCTTGTTTCCACAAGTTCTCATCTCGTTGTCACAAGTTAATGTCTTGTTTTTCCAGTGATCTTGTTTGGATAAGTTATTATCTTGTTTGCACAAGTCATCATCTAATATCTTGTTGATACGAGAGAATATACTGTATCATCGTTTATTGTTTACGTCGTCTGCTCAAGTAATGAATATTGTGCACACACGTTATCGTTTATATGATTTGCACACAAGTTGTTTTCTTCAGGCAACAAGATGTTAATGAATGTTGTGTGTCTGCTTTGTAAACGACAGTTGTTGTTTTGCTCAAACAAGATGGCAGCCAGTGTTTATTCAGTGCACATGTGATTTCATCCTTCTTTTTTGGGACTTTATGGGATTCAGTATTTCCGTCATTTGTGTTGCTGTGATTGATGTACGCTGGTGTGTTTTATTTTCATGTTTAGAGGCTGTATTATGATGTTACGTCGTCATTTCCTCATCCTAATAGGGTTTAAATCACAATCACATCGTTAATCCTTCGGGGCGTTTCGTCGTCCACATTTAATCGGTGACACTCCAACATCAGCGTCTCTGTTTTGGATCCTGACAGTCCAGCAGATTAAAAGTCTGATCCAGCCTTCCTCCACTGAACCTTTACCGCACAGAATTTGTTTGAAAATGATTGCAAAGCCAAGGAGAGCGTCCATCAACGCGCCATCGCACCTGCTCCTGTCCCATAATGCACCTGAGCTTCCTGCTGTGGCGGTTGTGTCGGTGTACAGTACGTGGTGGTGACTGATTATATACCACACATGTGATGCCGAGTATGTTTTTTTTTTTTGTTTTATTTTTTGTGGAAAACAGGCGAATTTTGTTGGACAATATTTGAATGTGTATTGTCACTTTCTGCTTTGTTCCTTGTCTGATTGTCTGTATTCCCTCGAATATGTAACGATAATTAATGTATACAGACGTCCTGTCCTTTAACATCCCGCCACTGGGGGCGTTCAAAGCCTTGCATAGGGAGACATCATTAATATCTACAGATAACGTCATGTAAATTAACTATTTTAATGGCAATAGTAGTGTGTACAGTAAAGACATCACTAGGCTCCATCTCCCACCACACTGTATAAAGAAAGACCAGAAGCCCCCAATATTAAACAGCATGGAGGAAACATCTCTGTTACGTGTGTGTTTGTCTGCTTCCTGTATCTCTGGATGTGTTTCTTTAACTATTCGTTGCATTCAATCCCAAAACACAGCGATTCTGAAGAACAAACTAAACCCAGCGCCCTGAAAACACGTAGTTATGTGAACAGAAAGACTTTATTTGTTTTACAATATTATCTCGGTTACATTCGTATATAAACTTTTAGATTTTTTCTAGCTTTTTTTTTTATACAGAATGACAGCGATGTTTTATCAGATTGCATACCTAGAAAATTAAAGGAATACATGCATCCGAACACAAACAGCATTAAAAGGAGAAAATTTTACACATCGAGTAGAAATTCAAAAACTGCGAGCGCTGCTCAGCCTCGCTGTGCTCACCAGTCGAGGAGGGAATCTTACAGGAGGGAAGGAGGCCTCGAACGACACTTAGCAGAGGACAGCAGGTTCACCGGATAAAACCCATGACGAGGAATTGAAATGCCTTCGATTTGTGCGGTTTTTTGATTTTTCAGCATCAAATTTGAGCAGTTTCCTGTATTTGACGTTTGTTTTTCGCGAGCTCTCTCGTCTACATGAGGCACCACAAACACGATGATTTAAAAAAAATAATAAACGCTGAACTTCACTGCTGCTGAAATGGAAAGACGGCCTCTCGTAAGGTTAATGGAAAGTGCACTTAGTGGGTCTGCGGCACAGACCCCTCCGAACTAATGCCAACGACTCCTCTGAAAACGACCACTTGAAACGCGAGACCACGCGACGCTGTACAACCTCCCGCTGAGATCTTTCCCGGTTTCTGTTTTTCACCAGCTCGTATCGTGTCGGTGCGCTGCCTCTGCTCCCTACACTTTCCCCTGGAATGTGCACACAGTATTCTTAATGCCTGAGGCTGGAGATGTGCTGCAGTGAAACATCGCCGCCTCCTGGAGAAGGTGGGAACTGCTACGCCGAAGCTCTTACCGAGACCGTTGAAAGACAGAGAGAGAGAGAGAAAAAAAAAAAGCAGAAAACCACAACAGCAGAAGTAAACACTAACTTTCACCAAAATGTGGCGTAAACTTAAAAACGACCCATCTGCTAAAACCTACTGGTCCTAAAAATGACTGTACACTGGAATCTACGTTTTCAGGTGTTAGTTGAGCTCAGATTATTTACACATTAAGGGTAAAAGTGCAGGGACTCGGAGCGCAGCCGCGGGTCGGGCTCTGATTGGCTGCCCGGCGGCTTTTACAGCATTTTAATAAAACGGTGAACTGACTCGTCTCCACGCTGAGGAGGAAGCTCTGGACTCATGATGGTGTGCATGGCTTTAAAAAAACAAAACTGTCCTTGATCTCAAAATGAGAAAAAAATAAACATGTAATACTCAGAGTACGAGGTTAACATATAAAAAAGTACTAACGTCAACAGAGATGAGGGAAGAAAAAAAACGTAGAAAAGGTAAAGAATATACTGAAGAATAGAAAAAAGAAAAAGGCATCTTAAGATTATGTTAACGATGAGAAACGGTGGCGATGATTGTGACGGAGGAGGTGGTTCGGTATGAAGACAGAATGACATAAAGATATGAGTAAAGACAAGAGAGAGAGAGACTCCGTGTGGTAGACGTCCTGACGGCTGTCGGTCCTGCCGGTCTTCACACCTCTGGGACGGAGTGATCCATGGCGGACCGCAGCAGGCCGGTGGACATCCTGGAACAAAGCAGCACGCGTCAGAATGCTTCAGTCGGTTCTGTTGAAGCTGCTTTCATACCTCAGCTCAGTTTGTCTGATCTGATTGAACTAAAACCGAGCGCTGCAGACATAAAATAGACATTTAAGCGTAGACTACTAAATCCATAGAGATCGTTTCCTGCAGCAGTCACACTGAACACTCATGTAGTTTAAACACAGCAGAGGAGTGAAGGTTCATTCAGCTGTGAGGGAGCAGCTCTAGTCCACACAGATCTATGATAAAACCCTCACTGACTCGATTTGAACGTTTATGGGCTAATAATAGACAACGTGACAAAATGTCTGGTACCTCTTGATCATGTGTTCGTAGATGAACTTGGGCATGATGGTGATGGTCATGGCGGTCGGGGAGGTGCTCAGGATGTCCTTGATCTGAGAGTCCTGCAGGTTTCACACACAGACGGCGACACAGTGAGACCTCGTGTGCGATTAAAGCATCACAATCAGAAACAAGCTGCAGTTTTTCTCCAGTGATGCATTTTTAAAAACAAAACGGCTCCAAACAATCTGATCGTGAACTCAGACCTCCTCAGTCATGAGAGTGAAAAGAAAGCAGACGGCTTTTTCCACCAAAGGGCATCGACATCACTTCAATAATGCTTCACTGACATCAGTTCACGTCACATCTACTGTAATGACAACAATGTTAGAAATAAAAGCTTCATGTGATGAATCCAGAGTCTGGTTTCATCACAGGCCTCTGAATGTGACCTAAACCACGTCTGGTCTGAAATGCAGCCCCTACAGTAACAACACAGAGGATTTATGCATTTTTAGGTTAAATTAACATTAAAAAACTTCTATAAAGTTTTATAAATACAGCAGATTTCTAAATACTTGGTTTAACAGTGCAAACATACAGCAAAAAGTCCAATACAGTCAAAAGCTGCAGAGACATCACTCACT